TTGGCCGGTTTGACCGGTCGGCCGCCGGTTTGACCGGTCAGCCGCCGCATGATCGGTCTTGTTGGAAAGTATTTTTTCGCCGGAATTATTCAGAGGTGTTTTCGAAATTTTCGAGGCTCGGTTTGGCCGGTAAATAGTTTTAAAGAGGGACATTTATTATTTTTAAAAACATGTATAAAGGACAAATTAGTCTTCTAAGGGGCGTTAAATATCGAAAAAGTGTTTAGCGGTTCACAATCACAAAAGCCGTGTTATTATTTTACATATGATGATAGGGTCAACCAAGTTTACTCGGTTGGTCCAAGTTGTACAACACAACACAACACAACCGCAAATACTTAGATGTGCCCTGGCACACCTTGCTAGGTGTGTCAGGGCCTTTAGTGAAATACACTTCTCCAAAAGTGTGTGGGGTAAGTAGGTAAAGATTTTTTTTTTAAAATGGGACATGTGTCTCAATTCTATTGGGCAATGAAATTCATATGTCATATTATATAAATTAAATTATCATTCATATTTTGTATCAAAAAATAAAAATAAAAATACTAAAATTCATAATTTTTCATTCTCTACAAATAGAGACCACATTTGATATTTTTTTAAACACAATTAATTTATCATTTTTTACAATTAATTTATCTTATTGGAAGATTATGACATAAATCTATAATTAGATGAATATGTTACATAGTAAGATGAACATGTCATAGAATAAGATGAAAATATTACATTTTCACAGATGAAATTTAGATGGACATGTTCTAAAATAAGATGAACGTGTTACATAATAAAATAACATGTTATGGAGTAAGATGAACATGTTACATAATATAATGAACATGTTATAGAATAAGATGAACATGTTACATGCACAATAAGGTGAACATGTTACATAAATAAAATGAACATGTTATAGAATAAGATGAACATGTTACATAATAAAATGAACATGTTATATAATAAGATGAACATATCTTACATACACAATAAGGTGAACATGTTACGTAATAAAATGAACATATTAAATAATAAGATGAACATGTTACATGATTAAATGAACATGTTATAGAATAAGATGAACATGTTACATACACAATAAAGTGAACATGTTACAAAATAAGATGAATATGTATTGTTTCAATCTACAATCTGTAACATGTTTATCATATTTGAAAACATATTCATTTTATTATGTAACATGTTCATTATATGTCAGTATAATAAAATAATTACGAAAAATTATGAAAAATTATGAAAAACGAAAAATTACTTGTGTTCAAAAACCTATCAAATGTCGTCTCTATTTATAAATAATGAAAAATTATGGATTTTGATATTTTTATTTTATTTTTTTAATATAAATAATTAATGATATTTTAATTTATGTAATATGTCTCATTTTTTAATTAGAAAAGAAAATTGAGGATGTGAACTACACTCTCCAAATTTCTCTAGTATTGGGGAGTTTTGGGGAATAAGAAAGCGCGTGCAAATATGCCAAGGCACACGGTAGTGGTACTGCAACTCAACGGTCAGAATTGTTCAAAATTCGAAAAATCAAAATTTTGACGGATGCATGTGCCAAAAGTTGGTCGATAAATTTGGATTCCACAGCTAAACAGTACCCCATTGCAGAACGTGCATCATTTATTGTCCCTACACGTGTCCATGATCAACGTCCCCCAACATCTCTCTCTTCATTGACAACGAGAATTCTTTTTTTTTTTCTTTTTTTTT